TCGTCAATATATGACTCGTCATCATCACCATCATTCAAATTTCTTGGAGAATTTTCACGCGATTTCGATAATGATTTTTTTTTTGTTTTAATTGCGATGATTCATACGTAGAATCTATTATAAAGTTAGTTATTTGAATTTTCAAAAAAACCTAAATAATAATATATAACAAATACCACTAAGATATCTATTATCTCTATTACTACTCTCTCTTGCATTTCGTGAAGATGTCATCATTTGTTGTGATCGTGATTTATTCATAGAATCAACTTAAAGATATAAATAAAGAAGTTATTATAATTTTTTAAATCTTTATTAAAATTTAAAAATTACCCGTAATTTGACTGCCAGCTGGAATGATATCCTGTGAAGTTGACGTTTGTCGTTATGATCGTGATGAATCATTATCTACTATAATAACTGTAAAGGTTATATCAAAATTTTTAAAATTATACAAAAATTTCTCAATTACCTGAATTTTGATCGGTTGAATTTCGTCTTTCAGATTTTTTATTTGAAACCATAGGATATATAAAATTTTATAAAAAGTTATTAGAATTTTACTAAAAATATACGAAAAAATATTACAATTACCCAAATCGCTTATATTATCCGCAAAATCATCTCTTTCTGGTTCTCTTAATTTGAAGAGCGGGGATAGTGGATTTCTATCCTTAACGGTCCACCAGATAGCATTCGATGGAATGTCTTTCCTCCAAACTTCGTCTTTTATTACTCGAGGACGTACTTTCTTATTTTCTGGAAAGTATTTCTCGACATATCAATTGTATGTAAAAGAGTTGTTAACTGATAAATAGAAATTAGTTAATCAAAATAGTAAATTGATAAATTAAATTAAAATCCGCTAAACTTACTTTATCAGTTCTCCAAGATAGTTTGTATACCAGGAGTCACTTGCATTCTATAGAGGAATCGGGATCATTCTCCGAATCACTTTCCTCTGAGGAATGGTAATCATTTCTGCCTAATATCTCATTTACGTCCTCAATTCCATGTTCGATTATCAATTCTCTGTATTTTGGATCATCTATCATGGATAAAGCTCCTTTCAGTCTTCATTCACGTTTCTATAATTAATAAAATGTTGTTTAAGAATTTTTACTATATTTTTAAAGAGTTAAACAAAAAATAAAACCTCAGATAACTGATTTGTAATATGCCCTTGGCGCTTCTTTTGCTTTTTTTGGTCATCGTTTAGCTGCCTATCTTTCCATTTTCGTCGATCATTCTTGTGATAATCAGACAATGCATCTCAAATCAATTTCAATGTAACCTGAAATTGACGTTGTTCGAGAATTGTTCAAATACGAGGTATCAATTCTCGTTCGAGTTGCGGGGCTATTTCACTAAATTTTTTTGTGTAATCGATCGGAAATTTATCGAATCTTGCGCTTTGTAATAAGATCTTTATTTCGTTCTATAAAATAATGATTATATAATAAACAGTTATTAGTTTTTACGAAGGAAGATTATGTAAAGCATAATAACATATTAACAGAATTAACCCTGATCTCCTTTCGCTTTCTCTTAACAAGGTTTTTCCTCGTCTCCTCTTGTAATTCACTATCCTTGTATTTTATTTCCTCTTCTAGAAAAGATTTTTCACATATAGGAATAATGTCTTTGAAGTAGTCTGATTTTTGGCGGTTACATTCAATTGATTTACTTTTCTGATTGGAAATTTGTGGTCTAAGTTCTACAGAGGAACTTAAAGCTCGTATTTCACTTGAAAGATGGTTGAACCCAATTCTCACTTGCTTTTGAATGTTTATCATTCCTTTTTCTAACCTTGCAACGTGTTCTTCATACGAATCCTAACCTCGACATCCTAATAAAGAATCTCAGAAATGCGAGCATATTATCAAAGTTTGAGAAAAAGTTCTACCATGAGAACCACATATAGGATTGTTCTGTGCAATTGTATCATCAAAGGACAAAGGATAAAGTGATGCACGTTTGATTAAAGCATTTCGTTGTTGAGACATTATAAGAAAATATTGAAAAATCAATTGTAATAAAAGAAAAACAAAAAAAAAAGATAAAAAGATTTATCTTATGTAATTATTCAAGATAATTTTCTGACCTTTGGTGTAATTAGAAATCATATTAATTAAATTAAATTGTAAGAAAATTTTAGTTGATG